AACGTCGGCCTCACAAAGGTGACTCCGCTGGACTTCGAGTGGGCACACGTAGATCACCGTGGGCAGCCTAGCACTTGCCAGTGTGGAGCAGCAGCACAAGTCAGGCAGACTTTCATCTGAAGCATCATGGTCTGTCGTGGTTGGTGATGCTTTAGGGTTTTTAAAGAAGCCTAGACACAGAATCATTGTTATCATGCCGCTGCCAGAAAGCCCAAGCCACCTGCCACTGTCATCATCATTCCTCTCCCTTTCCTCGTTCTTTCTCGTCCGACATGTCGTCCTCCGGTTCCGCTGACCGAGCAGGACTTCCCCATGGACTCCCGTTTTTTCTTCGCCGTTCCACCGACCCGCAGGACGAGGTCATATTCGATTTTCGTGCGCTGGACTATTACCTCGCGTCGGTCTGTGGGATGGAAGACCCAAGTACCATCCTGCAGCGTAATCTCGATTATTGCGAGCAGCTGCCGTCGAACTGTTTGGACTGCCTTCCGCCGGACAGTGACTCGCAGGAGGATTTGCAGTGCTTCCTCGCCGATCTGAGCCTTGCGCAGGCATATTATTTCCGCACTGGACAACCCGACAGGATGCCCGAATGGCGCACCGAATGGCTCTCGACTGTCTTTGTACCCGAACACTCGCCGTACGACACGCAGCAGAAATGGGCGGACAGGCTCGTTACACCCATGTTGGTTGTAGCGTTGTTTCTATGAAGGTGCATGCTTTTAAAGCCATATAATATTATAATACATTGATTATTTTCCACAGAGCACATCCCGTAGGCTTTGGTCTTGGCTTGCTGCAACCGATGGACTGCTGTACAAGCGGCCCCCTTCCTTCGCGACACGGACTCCTCGGACGGTGAGTGAGAGAGACTTCTAGATTTTAATAGTTTGTGTTTCTGATAATTGAATTGTTCCCTAGCAGGAAGGACGACGGCTGGCAGATACTCGTCGAACACATGCAGGGCGATAAAATGTTGGAGTGTGGCACTCAGCTATGACATCAGCGCACTCAGTCATTCAAGCATTCCAGTACTTGCACTTGTGTGTGTGAGTGGTTAAACACGCAGCACCCACTGCCGGTCCAGGCTCTGCTTCAAGCAGATACTCGGGGCGGCCCAGCGCAGGACAGACAACGCCCTCTCCGCCGGACTCCATTCCCCGCTGTTCGGTTCCCGACACCCGCAATCGTGGCTGGTCGAGATGCTGAACCGCGACTGGGAGGCCTACCCGGTGGCCGTCCCCGTTCCCTGGCAGGGCCACATGTACTACGCGGTGTCGTCGCACAACGCGTCGGACTTGTACTTCTGCATCACGAAGGGCCCCGACGGACGTGCAACAGCAGAACCAGTAAGATTTTTGTTGGTAAACCTTGTAGTATAACTGAAATACTTACCAAGTCGACAAATTTTCGGACATCGCTGGTTCAGGTGACACGATCGACTTTCAGTGCATCGGACTGTTTCTCAAGAAACTCGAACTTGGACCGGGCTCGTGGAACTAGCCGCAGTTCGTTCAAGCACGACGTACCCGCCGGCCAGTCTCCATTTGGAGTTCTGGAGCAGTTCGCTCTCGCCGGCCAGTCTCGAAAGTGACACGTTTTCTGCACTCGGAGTTCAGATCAGTTCGCTCTCGCCGTTCAAAAAGAATTGTCCTGGCACACTTTACATTTGCCGGATGTTAGTTCCTATCGCACTGTTTGCTGACTTAAACTTTTGCGCTTCAGGTTGCTGACATGGACTGGCACCTCTTTGGCGGGGTCCTCGGAGTTCTGGTGCTGCACAGTTTGTGACGATTTGCATCGGCACAGTTGCTGTGTTCTTTCCTGTCACACTCGGAAGCGACAAGTGCTTGAACCACCCGCAGTCACCAGTCACTCGTACTAGGTTTGTCATGTGCTTCATGCATTGCAATTGAGGTCGGTCACTCCTCGTTCGGTTCGCAGGGCACGGCCACACGGCAGGACGAGGACTAAGTCAGGGGTCATGCTTTCGGATTGTGACAAGGCATTCCGCGGACTCTGAGGTAAGTTAGGATCCACCTGCAGCAGACATGGAGCAATTGCCGTAGACATAAAGAGTTAAAGGCCTTTGAGCAATTGGAGTCCGGTTTGTTGCCTGGTTTGCCATTTCAGCATTTCAAGCATCGAGTGCATAGAATCGAGGGTGAGCGGTAAATTTTAGTGTTGGGCGTTACACATTAGATTTGTTGTTTGTGGCTGTGAATCATTAAGGTTAGTTCTGGCCTATTCATTGCGGGTGGTGTCTCCTTAACTAGATCTACTTACAGTGCATGGTATAAACCGATTTCACTTCTGGAAGTTCACCATACTTGTCCACAGAGGGGCTTCGGGTGTGGCTTGATTCAGGAAAATAATCATGAGGTGTACAACTCAGTACTACGACTACTACCACGACTAGTACAAGTACTACTAGCATTGCTACTGTACTACTACTACTACTACTACTACTACTACTACTACTACTACTACTACTACTACTACTACTACTAATTACTAATTACTACTACTACTACTACTACTACTACTACTACTACTACTACTACTACTACTACTACTACTACTACTACTACTACTAGTACTACTACTACTACTACTACTACTACTACTACTACTACTACTACTACTACTACTACTACTACTACTACTACTACTAGTACTAGTAGTACTACTACTAGTACTACTACTACTACTAGCTAGCCAGCTAGCTAGCTAGCTAGCTAGTACTACTATTACTTCTGCTAGCACTACTACGACTACTACTGCTACTTCTAGTACTACTACTACTACTACTAGCTAACCAGTACTACTGCTACTACTACTACTACTATTTCGACTAGTACTACTACTACTACTACTACGACTAGTACTAGTACTAGTACTACTACCACGACTACTACTACTACTACTACTACTACTACTACTACTACTACTACTACTACTACTAGTACACTACTACTACTACTAGTACTACTAGTACTACTACTACTACTATACTTCTACTTCAACTAATAGGGACTGCAATTTCGGCCTACTGGTTTTTCCTTTCTTTAATGAGTAGTGGTACTGCTGCTAGTACTACTCTTCGCAATCTGGATTAGTATTGCTACGAGTAATTACTAGACCAGTAGTCAACCAGCTGGAGGAAGGCGCTCTTGCAATCGCTGTTGTCCTGTTCATATGGAGGACACGGACTCCATTGGCCGGCATCGCTGCCGCTGAGCCTTCTCGTTTCAGGCACTGTGCTCTCGTGCGGTCTACGCTTTGTGTCTTGCTTGCCATGTTCGTCCAGTCACAATGCACTGTGAGACCACCCAGCAGCAGGGCTTGATTGATTGTTTGGTTTTCCGAAGCCGTCCTGCCTGTGCGTTGAGACTTCGTGCAGTCTTATCATCCTTCCCCCGTCGTTCTTCCTCGACGGACCTTGCCCAGCATGCCTCGTGATGCCGGCCCCCGCAAGCCCACCCTCAAGCAGCTGGCGAAGCAGAAAGCGAAGGACATCAAGACCCGGGAGCGCAACGAGGCGACGTTCGCATCCGCCGTTCAGCACTCCAAAAGCACCATACTCGACGTGGACATGCGGTTCATTCAAGACACGCTGACCCAGAACCCGACTTGGATTTCTCCACTCGCTGGTCTGATCCGCTCGGGCTCGTTGAATGGTCTTCTGAAGGACGTTGCCAAGAAGGAGGAGACCGGTGGACTGAGATGGAAGGGCAAGTGCACCAAATGGGGCAGTTTGCCGCTTGAGATGGCGAGCTTAATGCTCAAGCATTGCGGTGTGGAGCTCGCGGAGGACGTACAGAAGGACGAACCCGTCGTACGGACCCTCTTCGAGATCCAGTTCTGGGCAGCCAAGTCGGCGTCCTTGCCATCTCGTGCGGACATTCGCTATCAGTCCACGTTGGTCAAGTTAGCGAGGGCCCGCATGGAGGACGTTGGTCGCAACTACATAGCTGCGGTGAACTCGGCGGAGGCTATCAGTGTTGACCGGGACAGGTACAACATCTGGTCACTTGAGAACAACACGTTGTACTGCCACGTCTTTGCCACACAAGATGGACACCCTCGCCGTTCCCGCTCGGAGTTCGTACCCAACGAGTCGTACCTCAGCCACGAGCTTCCTACTCTCCCGGACAACAAGACGTGGCAATTGGACGACCCTTTTGCGGTGGACTGTGTCATTTCAGATGGACAGCATAACTCGTTGTTCAGTTTTGAATGCGCGAGTTTCTTTCCTACTTTGCCGGACATGAAGGCCAAGTGGACCTTCGACTTGTCGTCGGACGCAGACACCACGGCTGGCCTCGGCGACAATGTGCCGCAGGGCACCCCGTCGGTCCGGAGTGCATAATGCACTCTCTCCTGGTAGTTCAGTGTGTCTTGAGTTTGGGGTTGACTTTACTCGTTGTTCTGTCCAGTTTGTTCACTCGAAAAGCACAATGTCGTTCGCCTCGCCGTTCGACCCATTGTGTCTGAGTGAGTGGACAGGCACGAGTTTCACTGGGGCCGTGAAGCCGGCAACTTGCAAGCTGCATAAAAGAATACGTGCGATGAATGGCTGACTGCAATAATGACTTCCTTGCGGTGCCTTGCAGTATGTGCTACATACATGTTGCAGAAGAACACAGACCCATGACACGTGGTGTGAGCACTGCCTTGCGACATCAGCGATTCGTTGCCGCTGTCTTTGGGCTTCCAGAATAAAAGCTGCATGCCTGCAGAGCCTCCCTTTCTCTTGGTTTGGCAGATGTCACATATACTTCCTGGGACATAGCCTATAAAGTTTTGCTACATTCGTTCACCAGAAACAGACTGTAGAATTGATCCACTCGCTATCAGATGCTGGAGCCCGCTTCTGCCGATGGACCCTCTTCTTCAGGACCTCCAGCTTTTTTCAGCTCTGCGTCGGACAAGCGTCGGACAGTTGCATTTTGCATTCCCTGCGGGACACACGGAAGCCTCAAGGGCGAGAGCTACAAGTTCAAAGAGCCGCAGACCAAGGTAACGGATGGACATCGTTTTTGGCACATGCGTTGGTTTGTGGACTTCCTCGGAGGACACGAGTCTCGAAATTTCCTCGCAGGCAGTGTGTCGACGTTCAGGAACAAGCTCTTCACGATTGCATGGCCCTGCTGGACAGACACGGAGGACGCTCTGAAAAAAGAGATCGAGTCGCACTTTCTCCAGAGTTCGTTCTCCCTCCTCAAGCAGCAGGAGCACGCTGCAAACGCCGAGAAGAAGGGCACCAAACGAAAGGCATCCTCGCAGCAGATGCAGGACGACATGGAGGACGACAACGAGCAAGCGGACAATGAGGAGCACACGGGTGACCAGATGGAAGAGGTAGCAGCTGGACGAAGCACACGTTGTACAGAGTTTGCCACGTCGAGCTTTGCAACGATTGTTCTTTTGCATCAATGGCACCAGGGTATGCGCAAAGATGCCAAATGGAAGAAGCCGGCAGAGGAGGTATCCAAGCTGGCCGGGGAGTTGCTTCAAGGCCTCGCTTCCTTGTTCCTGCAGACCCCGCAGGACTTCTCATTCACGTGGGACGGAAACACTCTGGTGCTGCCGTTCAAAGGAGGTTCGCTGGACGTGGACGAGGTTGTACTGCAAAACAGTTTACTTGCTAAAGTACTACACCGCGATCGTTCCCGATTCATGGACGTGCTGCAGGATGTGAATGTGGACTGCACCCGTCGGACAATTGGAGACACTCGCAAGTCATCTAGTTTGAGGACGAAGTACTACTTGTTGGCGGCTTTGGCACGTGCCATGGATTCGTCGGACGACACGCATTCCTGCTGGACATCTTTGAATGTGAAGCAAGTGATGCAGCTTAGGAGAGAGGTTTCGATTCGAGGGTTTGGAGGGTTTGAAGGGTTTGGAGGGTTCCGGGGTTTTAAGATGTAGGGTTGTGTCTTGAAAGCCCGAAAATTGATATTCCCCCTGTTGTTTCAGGAGCACCTCCGGATATCGTCGGTCGTCCACGAGTTTTCGACAAGAGGTTGCGAGTTCATCGAATGCCACACGCAGGACACTTACCTCCACATTGCAAGGACATGCGTTCACCGTGCAGGACAGCAGCGAACAGCAGGACGAACAAAAGATCAAGAAGCACGCTTCTATGGACGCACACAGGCTAGCACGCATGGAGCGATACGCCTATGTCACGCAGGGCAAGTCAGATTTCCTCTCGACGGACATTTTGTGCGTGGTGGCAGATGCAGTGCACGTGGGAAGTGACGATTGGCTGAACATCATGGTGTACAACCACACGACGGACAAAGTTTGGGTCTGCCCGCCGCAGGCGCTTTTTTTTTTGTTAAGCAACACATATTTCTGAGGCGTTTTAGGCAAGAGGCGAGGTACGTCAGAGCCTTGCTTAAGTTGACCTTTTTGGGTGCCGTTTTCGTAGCTTCTGGGTCCGACCAAAATCGTTTTTCCGAGGGGAGGTACACGTATCCCCGCTCAGGCTCGGTTTGGGGCGGAGTCTTTCTATTGTATTTTATATAAAGATAGGTACACGTATCCCCGCTGACCCCTGGGTTTCGGGATTGGCCTGATAAAGGCTCCCGGCCGCCCTTCTACTGATGAGTAGGTACGCACAGCCTTGCTTAAGTTGACCGGGTCCCGGGTGGAGGCCGAGGAACGCATTTCGGCCACATTTTGGCTGCATTTCGGCCCCCAAAAAGGTACGCCAGATCCCCGCTTAAGTTGACCGGCCGGTCCCCCAAAAAAGGGCCCCTGGGTGATTATATGGTAACAACCTCTGTCGTTTGTTTTGCATGCTGTTGCTGACAAGCTCTTCCTCTAAGCTTTGCTTCACATTTTTCTCTGTGTAGTCAGACCACGCAGCAGGTCCAGAAATCGTCCGTCTTGTCGGCTGAGCAGTGGAAAGCTATGTGGAACAAGGCTTCCAAGAAGTTCCTCGGGATCGAGAAACCCGTTGGACCTGGTCATGCGGAGGACCGGCTGGCCACACTGTCTTGGATGCAGGACATAAACCACGGCTTGCGACCCATTGGCTGGACTTTTGGCTGCTGCCAGAGCACGCCGGCCGGCCCCGCGGAGGACGACACGAAGGCTAAACGTGCACCGATCATGATTTTGTGCACCGACCAAGAAGCAACACAGCTGGCGGCTGTCTCCTTCTTGAGGAACAAAAAGAGCCTCTGGATCGAACACGTCTCGGACCCCGCCCACAGGTCGCACAACGACGTGGCTTTGGCCTTGTCGGCCGCTGGACTCCTGAAGTTCTGCACGTGCATCTCGCTGTACAACATCAGGTATGGACCCTGGCAGAAGGGCTCGTGGGCGTTGAAGATCCAGCAAGCCGCAAATCGCATGAAGGACAACATGGACCCCTCGGACCCGATATTGCTCCTTTTCTTCCCGGACATTCTGCTGGACGCCGGCCTCTCCCCCCTGGACGACAACACGGAGGAGAAACGCAGGTCGTTTTTGCAGACATTACCCGACATGGACTGCATCCGCATCAAGGGCACGAAGGCCAGCAAGAGTCGGTTCAATTCCCTGACGACGGCCCACAGCGCGCTGGACAAAGAGTGGTCGGTCTTGGCTTTAGTTCTCACGGTGGTCTGCTTGGAGCACAACTGGGCAGTTTCCACTAAGGACCTCTTCTCGCAGGACAGCAACCAGGCCCGTGCCTCGGTTCCATATGGTGGAAGCAAGTCTTCTGCCATACAGGAGGCCAAGCAAGGCATGGACCAGGAGCGGAAGGGCAGCGCGAACAGTCTACACTTAATGACGAAGTTCGTGATCTCGCAGGACAACAAGACGACAGCCAGGATGATGTTCCAGGTCTTGCAACCCGAAGAGCTTCGTTGTTCGCTCATGCTCAAGCAGCTGCGTTCCAAAGGCATGACGAAGGACTACTACTCTGGCTGGGCACACTGGTCTTGGATGAGCACTGCAAAGGACCACGTCAGGACTTTGTCGAATTTGGAAGGTTTATCTCGTGTCGGCCTCGACCTGACACTGGCACGCGCACAACCCCCGGAGGAGACAGAGCTTGTCTGGCAGGACTCGCTCGCAGGCCAAATGACGCAGTTGACACTACAGATCCTGCGGCTGCGGGCCGGGGCACAGCTGTACCATACTGGAGGTTTCGGTGCGACCGCAGGACTAGTCCATGCTGAAGAGCAGTTCCGTCGGGCAAGCTTGGATTTTTTCAAAGAGATGCAGTCTTGTATCCAGGACACGCACAGTGGTGGTTCTCGTATGGCAAAAAAATTGCTCGAAGGTCATTTCTCCCAAGGGCCGATTAGTCGGTACATCCTCGCCGATCTTTGCACTACCCGGTTTCAGAGCCTTACGGAGGACGTTGCACACGTATTGACCAGCATTTGGTCGGGCCTCTTGAACACGAAGATCATCGAAGACTGTAATAAAGTCCAGCGCGAGGCCGAGCAACGACATTCGTCTTCGAAGGACTTGGGTCGTTTGGACGGATGGAAGGCTGTGACCCAACAGGCCGTGGTCAAGATGTACGAGAGGGTGGAGGCACTGTCAACGGAGCTCTACCACACGCCGGCAGCGTTTGACGTGGCCAAACTTTTCTGCAAAGACACCGAGAAGAAGAAGATTCAAGCAGTTCGTCGTCGTTCCGATTCGTCGGTCAGCACGCAGGTCAGTGCCTCGGAGGTGCAGGAAGCACAGCTTCTTGCAGACGTGACGAAGACGAGGGACTGGGTCTCCCACAACCACGCCGAGGAACAGGAGGTTTTGGCTGCCTTCAGTTTACTGATGAAGGCGTGGAGGGCCAAGCGATGGTCGCTTTGTGAAGAAGGTTGGTGCTCTGGACTTTTGCCCGAAGGACATGTTGTACTGGCAGGTGCAGACCCGTTGTTCATCGTTCGGACATACCGTTTGGCTGCACTCGCATGGCCCGGCAAGATCGTTAAGGACAAGGACCATGAGTTTTTCGAATTCAACATGGGCGTTCGGTCTCTCTTTTGGATGCACAGCACATCTTTGGACTTGGAAGTGTTGCGGCTGCGAGTTGTTTCACCTCTGCGTGCCTCGGCTGCAGTACAGTTGAACATTGTCAGCCCGACACGGACATTCTCTACATATATATTCGTCCTATAATGAGTGACGATGATTGATTGACACGGAAGGCTTCTCCGGTTCAGATTGTAAGTTTCGGCCCGGGGGGGGTAGCACTGAAGCTATTTTTTATGGGTTTCTGAACAACTCAGGCGATTCGACAGTCAAGGATTCGAAGTTTCACAGAGTTAGGTTGAGTAGCCCAGGATGGCACGTGCGTCGAGGTTTTGGGTATTGACGAAAGGAGGGTGTGGTTGTGTGTACTGCTACCACTTTTTTGGCCATACTACTAGTGCTAGTACTAGTGCTAGCAGTAGTATTAGTAGTAGTAGTAGTAGTAGTAGTAGTAGTAGTAGTACTAGTAGTACTAGTACTAGTAGTAGTAATACTACTACTACTACTAGGACTGTTGCTGAGATTCCTTCTACTACTGTAAACTACTGCGATTGCTTGTAGTAGTAGTACTACTACTACAAGTACTACTAGTAGTAGTAGTAGTAGTACTACTACTACTACTACTAGTACCAGTTCTACTACTCCTACTACTAGTATTACTACAACTTCTTCTACTACTACTACAACTACTACTGCTACTACTGCAACTACTAGTAGTAGTAGTACTACTACTAGTAGTAGTACTACTACTACTACTAGTACTACTAGTACTATCACTACTACTACTACTACTACTGCTACTACTACTACTACCACTACTACTACTACTACTACTACTACTACTACTACTACTACTACTACTACTACTACTACTACTACTACTACTACTACTACCCTTTTCGAGTCTTTTTACCAGTCTTCCTAGTGATATCACCGCTTTTTACTGACCAGGCGCAAAACTTAACGATTGCGATCATTTTTTACTAAGAGTGTTGCTGCCGCTACTGCTACTGCTGAGGTCGTTCCACGCAGGGCAGCCACCTCAACAACGGCATCGTGTTTTTGGTGGACAAGAAGATGGGCACGTTGGACTTTCACGCCGAGCAGGGCTTCGCTGCCTGTTCTGAGGCTTTGTTGCGCAGGTTGTGCCAGCACATGGGTTGGACCGCCACCCAACCCAAATCAGGTGTGGACGCAGGACATCAGCTGGCTGTTGCCGCCATGCTCAACATGGACAACTCGTTGGTCGAAGAGGACGTGGTTCAACGAATCCTGGCAAGGCATCAGACTGACAAGTGGATGCCGGAGGTCGACGACAAGGACTTGGAAGCCGTCGTTCGGGACACGCTGCTCATTGGCGAGCAGGACAAGGCCCTCAAGGAGCTCAGTGCCCGTCGGTCCACGGTTTCGGCCAAAAGTCTACGACCCAAGGTATGCACGATGTACAAGAACGCCGTCTCGGACCTGGACAAGGACTTTTGGAAGGCCGGACAGGACACACGCCGACGCAAGACTCAGAAGGCCGAGAAGGACAGCAAAAAGCTAAAGCAGCAGTACGACCGGGTGTACGCAAAGCTGAATGCCACGACGGACGAGCTTGTGAAGAGCATGGTTCCTGATACTGTACAGGTTTGGACGGACCCAAAGAATGGTCGTTGGAAGGTGTCGTACAAGACAGCTGTAGTCAGCATTACACGTAGTATTTCATGGACACAAGTAGGTGAAGCTGCCGCCGGTCGAGCCTGTGTAACACAAGGTTGGTCATGGGTGGAGCACCACGAAGGACGTGATCCACCCGAAAACTTGCAGGAGCGATTGACAAGGTTCGACTCCTGAGTTCACTCGGACTTGACATGCCCGTGATTGGACTTTTTCTCCTCGTAGCACATCGTCGTTCAGCATCGATGCACACATTCGTCGGGCCCAAAAGAGGATTATTCCGCTTTGCACGCGTGTTTGATCCGTGCAATTGATGCTTCTAGTCAGACTTCTGTAATGCACTGCTACGTGTGTGAGACAGTGGCGGTGATGTGGGTTCAAGTTCAGGAGCATGTCGTCCATGCATTGAGCACGTATTTTAAGTAGGCCAGACATGTACTGATATGGCGAGCCAACGCGCCCTCACTCACCTTCTGTGTAACTTTCCCCACGGACACACAAGATAATGAGTAGTCATGTAGCGCAACTGGAAATTGTACCAGAAATGTTTGTACTTGAAACCTAGGTTGTTATTCTCGGTGGGAGTCCATGAGAATTCAGTTTTGTTGAAATAAATGGAACGGAAAGAGTCTCTGTACATGTCTCGACTCGTGGTTCCATCCTCGAAGTATTACTCGTGCCATGGTGGCCCGGCCGAAGTTACAGGAGGTGGGACTGTCACGACGACCCTCGGCATACGCGCTGTTCATGCAGGACATGTGCAAGGACTCTGTGGACCCCAAATCTCGTCGTCGACTGTCCCGGAAAACATCACTTCGCGGTTCAATACATTATCTGCACAAGTGGCTTCTTGGCTGCAAAATCAATATAGATTAGTCACACTGACACATGTGCCCCTTGCCTAGAACCCCAAGTCATCTGAAGCCACGGGAAGTAAAATCTTGGCAATTCTGGTCAGGAACCCGAATATGCCATCTTAGCTACGTACCAAAGTTATTTACTTCAGACATAATTAATAAGATGTAGCTAAAAGTCCTAATACAAGTCATGTTACTTTTTACTCGGGGATTACCTTTTCACCCAATCGTCCAGTAAAATTCCTCTGTTCCCCGAGGCACAACCGAAAGGACCTCCGTGACGAGTACACACGCAAGGCCAGGCAGGGCTACCAGGAGAATCGGGTCCAACGCGAAGAATTTCGACAGGCCAAACACACGGAAGTTCCCCCCGCTTCGTTCATGGACAGAGAACTGCCGGACGTCGCAGAGTCGCAGGACTTCGACGGTCGTGGCATTTTTCGCTACACGGCCGAGGACCCACTGGTGCAGGAGAAACATATGGGTCGCGGCACGTACGGGGAGATTTTCGCTTGCACGTACCAGGGCCTGAAGTTAGCCTTGAAAGTGGCCGTTCGCACGCCGGACAGGGAGACTGCACTGTTGGACGTGCACCAAGACGGTCTCGAAAAGACGTGGGACTTGACCCGTGAGTTCACTCTTTTGAGCCAGATAGGACCTCATCCGAATGTTCTGCGACTCTATGCCTTGCTGACATCCTCGACTGGGCACACGGGAATTCTAATGGAGCGGGCTTCCTGCGACCTCTTGAAGGCCACACGGGACTTGAAGACCGACGACCTTCAGGACGGAGTTCCCTGGAGCACACGACGAGCCCAAGTAACGACGTACTTTCGGCAGACACTCGCAGCTCTTACATTTGTGCACAGCAAAAACATCGTACATTTGGACGTGAAAACGAACAACTTCCTCGTGTTTCTCCTCGGCGAGCGGGTGGTGCTGTCCGACTTTGGTTTTTGCCGAGCTTTGCCACTCAATGGAAAAGCAAAAGTCAGAGCTGACGAAGTCTACACGACGTACTACCGGCCGATCGAGTGCCTTTACTCCGGGGACGGCAAGGCCTGGACCATGAATCCTAGTCGAAGAAAGTTGAAAGTAGTAAGCCCGGTGCGTATGTTCATTCTAGTAACACTTTATGATTTTGCGGATCTGAACTGCAGGACCAGATCAACCTCAGGCATTCCCGGATCCAACTGATGTCATTACTACTAGCAAACTCGCAATGGCCATTGTAATTGAAAACTTGACACAAAGATCTGATTCTTGATTCATAGAAGAGTCATGTCAGCACATGCAGTCGTAGACTCAGCTTCTTAGTCAAAGACATAGCCTGAAAAACTTCATATCTTGCTAGTAACAGCCATGTCTTTAAGAATTGACTTGTTTTTTGGCAGGAAGTATGACTATGTGTTTCATTTTGTTGTCGTTTCCCTTAACTGCTCAGCAGCTTCACTTTGATGAAAGAGGTGGAGATCGGCCCGAAGGCGGACATGTGGGCACTCGGTGTGGTGACGTGGGATTGCTACGCGAAGACGACACGCTCGCTGTTCACTCCCGACCCGAAGGGCTTCGTCAAGCACACGCCGACCATCTCACAAGCGCTCGTTCGTTTCCAGACTGCATGGCGCGAGAGAGCACGCGACCTGCACTTGCTGGACGACGACATCGCTGCACACGTTTTCGGTTCATGCTTCACATTGGAGCAGGACAGGCGCAGCTCACTCGATTTGTTGAAGGATTTGCAGGGCCGTTTCACGAGGACAATTCAGTCGCTGGACGAAGAAGAGGAGCCGTAGCAAGTCCCCGGTGTACGTAATGCTATAACTTTCCAACGTGTCTTTCGCAAAGTATGATTTTATGTCAGACAAGAGATGACGAATGTTGTCGCCGGTGGACTCGCCCGTGCAAGTTTTGCATGACACACGTTGTTCGATGACCCGATGTTTCGAATCATTGAATCAGTTCATTGAATCTCGTAAGAGAATTAACTTAAGAAGATTGCAGAAAACCAGAATAATGTATTAGACTTTGTGGTTGGGTTCTTTTTGTTCAGTTCCCCGCTGTCACACGATTGACGACCGACTTGTGCATGTCAAGGACGGCCCTTCGGCAAGGATAAAAAGGGCCGCTCATTCTGCCATTTGGAATCTGTAGGTTCTACAGAACATGTACATGCAGAGGCGTGTCTGAAGTCCTAAGGATAATACACCGCTGTTCCCCCACACTCCTTGGCTAGATGCTTTCCATTTCCATGTTGCAGGCCCTGGGGCAGAGGCCACACCCTTCTCACTCTGGCAGCGACACACGGAGCACTTCAAGGACGGTTTCGGCCGCACAGTTCAGTGCAGTCTTGGATGGAATGTTCAGATGTCCTATGTTTTGAAATGCTGCTTACACTATGATGTTAGTTCGTTCTTGTTGAATGTGGTTTTAGTTTTCGGTTGGACTAGTCGCAGAGAGGCTCCCAATGGATTTCTTTTACTGTCGATTTGGAAAGCTTTGTTTTTCAATGTTTCTTGCTGCTGCTGGAAGAATGGGGTCAACCTTTCCGACCTGGTTTCATGATGGTCTCCAGAGAGCCAAGTCAGTCTTCTGGCTCCAGAACATCATCTGAACAGTGCAATGCAGGGG